GGGAAGACCTAGAATTTAGAATTTTGGACTTTTACCTTGAATTTGAGTATGAAAATTAGAACAAATTGTATATTTGAGTTAGTAAAGCTATGGGTAGAATTTATCTTCGAGAAATTTCGGAATTTGGACACGTGGGACCAAGGGCATTTTGGTTAACTTTTCGAGCAGAGTTGGGAACTTATATAATTTGAATTGTTACAAGTATTAGAGTGAATTTTTATTGGTTTGCCCGTTATTTGAATAGTTTTGGGGCGTTGTGCATCAATTGGAGTCATTGGAAGGGCTTGGAAGCCGGTTATGGAAATTTCGGAGCGAGGTGACTCTCTTTTCTAACCTTGTAAGATGGAATTATCCTCATAGGTGAAATAATCGATTATGTGATCCTATTTGTGGGGGCTACGTACGCACGAGGTGACGAGAGTCCATGCGTAGCTACTATTATGTGTAAGTCCGGGTAGTCTAGGACCCAAAAGCATGCTATACTTGGAATATCTGTAATCTTGTTGGTAGTTGAATTGCTTAAATCTTATTGAATTGGTAAATGAATTTCTAAAATGGATTAAACTTTATTTTCTTAAATCGCTAAAAGAGAATTGGCTTTTATTTGGATAAACGTTCCCCGATAAATTCTTAATTTGCTGTTTGAGCATGTATTTCTATGTGTACCTGCTTCGCATGTATGATTCGCGAGCAGGGTATTTGTTTATTTATGTTGACCGCGTCGCATGTATGATTCGCGAGCGGGGTAATAGATACATCTATGGTTCGCGCCATTCGACCCTCGGCAGTGCACATTTTACATTTCTGTTGGATCTGGCCGTACGACCTCGGCATGATATGCGCATGCTTGTATTGCTTGCCTGTGAATTTTTAATGTTGATAATTGCCTTTCCTGGCCAGATATAAATTGATAAAGATAATGAAAATTAAATCTTTGGAAATCCTTATTATTTGAGAAGTTGTTTACCTGCTTTCCGGCTTTATGATTTTAATTTTGCTTATGAAATCCATGAATTTCTCACACTTTTACTATATTATCATTGGACCATTAGTAAGTGTCGAAGTCGACCTCTCGTCTCTACTTCTTCGAGATTAGACGGGATACTCATTGGGTGCACGTTATTTTCGTACTCATACTACACTTGCTGTGCATTTTTGTTGCACGGACACGTGCATCTCTAGTGGCCTAGTGGGCGTAGCAGCATGGTTGATACAAAGACTTAGGTGAGCTGCACTTTTCGAGACGACATGCAGCCAGCAGAGTCTCTTTCAAATTACTGTATTTAATTTCTGTCCAATATTGTATTCCGGACGGTTGTTGTACTACATTATTTCCTAGAAATTGCTCACGTACTTGTGACACCGGGTTCTGGGATGATCACGGGATTTTTCAGTAGTTAAATTTTGTAAAGACACCCTCATTATCCAACGGAGTTTATTATTCATTATTTATTTGTTTAAAGAAAATGGTTTCAAAATAACTAAAATGAGAAATTGCTAGCAAAATAGTAGTTGGCTTGCCTGACAGTGGTGTCCGACGCCATCACGACCCTTAGTAGATTTTGGGTCGTGACAGCATGTGTCCACCTTTAACAATTGTCCAAGTTTAGAGACAACCTTTTGTAGTATTTCCAAATCATAAAATTCAGTCGGGAGTTTTGGCAGTCGAACCCATATAGCTGAATAGGTAAGTTGCGTAGATAATGCTATAAATTTTGGCTCCCACTTTCGGACTGATAAAAAGTGGTTTAGTATAAACCATGGTCATCCATGTAGGGCCTTAATCATATTTTCTTCTTTTTGATATTTGATAAGGAAAAAATCAGACCTAGATCAAAGATGGGAAGATCTTCAGTTGGCTTCCATAGAGCTAGGAGCTTGTTCCTTAGTATATGATGTACAATCTTCCGTCCAAAGATTTTTATTATTACTGAGTACTTCCAAGGTTCATACAGACGTGATTTATCATTGGAAGTAATTGGAATAAAGGTGTCCTCATCTATGTTGTTTGGGATGATTTCATCAGAAAGGTCAGCTGTATTAATTGAAGATTGTTGATTACTAAGCGTTGGTGATAGGTATTTGTTTGTTAGAAGGGTTTGTAGAAAAGTTGGTTGTTTTGGAATTGGGCTAGCATCATCTACTTGCATAGAACCTATATCAGGTGGCTCTGTATTGTTGTGTTCTGTATTTATTTCATGAGTAGGATCATTCATTCTTGGAGGTTTTTTAGTTTAGGGAGTTAATGTTTGCTAGGATAGATTGTTGTTGTATGGAAAAGAACAAAGAAGTTTATGACTGGGCAAGAAGAGTAAATATTAGAGAGAGAAGCTCTTACATGTTTGCTCCACGCGTAGTCAAGAGTTGTAGTAGTGCTGTAGTATTCAAATTCTGCAGCATTGTCGCTACGTCTATGCATGAGCAGATACATGAGCGTCATATTTACTTTAATCAAAATATAAAACCATACAATTATTTAAGTTTTGAATAAGTTACTTTATTAAAAAAATGGACTCTAATTTATTATATTTCCAAAAAAATCTAATACTAGAGATCCACTCAAGGATTCCATCTCTTTTTTTTTTTTTTTTTTTTTTTTTTTTTTTTATGATGTGGATCTAAGACTACCCAGACATTTCATGAAATATAGCTATGCATGAANCTAATTTCTCTGCTCTTAATTTCGTGTAAAAAATGGGGAGGATATTTGTGGTGGATCTTGAAGGCAAAACTTACAACTGCAAATTCTGCAAAACCTAACTTGCCCTTGCTAATGATCTTATTTCAAAGGATTTTCTTTTCCTCATGGGAAAAGCATACATGTTAAGAAATGTGGTAAATATAACTTTTGAACCTAATGAGGAGAGAATGATACTTTCTGAAATGCATACAGTTGCAGACCGAGGCGGACCTACGCGGTGGGTTGAGGGGTCACGTGACCCTGTTAGTCTCGGCAAAAATCCTGTATATACGTATTATATATATATTTGTACATATTTATATATGAGACCCTTTAAATATTTTAAGTGTGCTCCCTAAAACAAAGGGGTGGATGAAAGAAGTGGTTGCTTTGGGCCTTAAATTCCCAACTTTGCTGGGACGTAGGTTTGAAACCCCACTTTAGCTTTTTTCTCCTCCTTTTTATTTTTATTCTTTGAGTACAATGTAATTTATATTTAATAGCAAATTGCTTTATCTTTTACTTTTATCTCTTTTTTTTTTGAATTCAAGTATAATTTAGTACTAATATATAACAGTCAACTTTTTAAATATTTTAGTTCTTTGAATACAATATAATTTATATTTAATAACAAATTATTTTTTTTTATTTCATTTATAGTTTAGTACTAATACACAATAGTCAACTTAATTAATTTTATTCNCCCCGTTGTGCTCAAAGCCTGGGTCCGCCTATATTTTGTTGTTGTTGTGGGCAAATTGTTGGCTGGAAATTTGTGGCAATTACAAATGGCAAAAATCACAAGTATGAAGAAGAGAAATTTGTTCTTGAAATAGGAGGGATTGTTGACTCTGAATTGTATACTGAAAATACTAGTCCAAATATGAGTGATGCATAATCTTGGTTTCCTTTGTATCTCATATATTAAAATGATATTTCTATGGTTGTATCTTGTATTATTACGTATCAAAAGAACTATTATATCTTGCTATATTTTCTCTTTTCGCTTTGTCTTTTTATTATTTTCTTATTGTTGTTAATGTTTTCTTTTCATCTCTCTATGAGCGGAGGGTCTATCGGAAAACAACATCTCCACCTTCTCATGCTAAAGGTAAAGTTTGCGTGCACACTATTCTCCTCCGGTCCCACTTATGAGATTATACTAGGTTTAATATTATTGTTATTGTTGTTGTTGTTTTTTGTGCTATATTTTCTATTAACATAATTAGATGCAAGCATTGTCATTATCTTTTTCATTTTCGCATCAATAGCAGAATTACGTGTTCAAATAAGTTTAATGTTGGCTCTTGAAAGATTGGTTTTTCTCTTCCCTGTCTCGGATAGTAACTCTTTGAACCTTCTTTTATCTAAAAGAAAGAAGCTAATAAAGTGTAGATCTTGTGTGGATTTTCACAGAGAAATTTAAATTTATTCAGACTCCGATGACATACTCTTTTATGGCCAAGATTATCACAACTCGCCGGAATATTTTCTTATAACTGTTAATGGCCAAAATTTGAGTTATAAATTGGACACACAATTGGACGTCAAAAGACTAGTTTGATAGTTTATGCCTGTCTCTGGAGATTGAATTTCTAGCACGATAGATGGTTGAGCATGTTAGTGACCAGCTTCTCCTTGTATAAATAGGACATCTCATACAGTGACTAAAATAATCCAATCAATCATACCTTATTATTCAGCGTTTTACTTGTTTTCTTTATGGCATTCCTTTGAATGATTTCCTATAGCGAACTCAAGTTAATACGTACTACAATAATAATTGAGTTCTAGGTTCACATGAACCTGTAGCCAACCCTCGTATCCACCTCTGGTCAGGTTGTAAGCATATCATTCATTTGAAATCATTAGAAGGCAACTTATTAACAAGCCAAGAGTTCAGGTGAAATTTCAATTTGGAGGATGTTCGTTCATTTGGAATCAATAGAAGGCAACTTACCCAATACCAAAGCCAAACTCTCAATAAAATAAGCTAAAAGGGTGTATGCTGAATGTCAGAAGAAAGGAAGACACGTCTCCTACACATGAACGATGATGAAAATAAGCTTGGAGCAAAAGTTAATTGCAGGAATCTAATTGATGCTGTAATTGCTAGTCAACTGCTATTAATATTAATTAGCAAAGTATATCAAATATTGAGGAAAAAATAGCAAGATAAAACTGAAGTCAAGCTACAAAATGGGAAACCTATCATCAGCACCAAAAAAAGTAAACGACGAGCATTAGTTCTAGCATGCCGCAGATTGAAGTACACCCTGCTTGATGAGCTGCTCACACTTAATTGTCCAGCATTGATAAATTCATCCTTGCCAGAGGTTGTAGAAACATTCACAGGTGATGAACCTATAATAAAAGATTTTGTAAATGAATATTGGAGCTCCCTCATGATAGAGAATTGCTAGGATGTATATTTATCAACGATTCCAAAAAGGAGTCAGTGTGGATTAAAAGCGATGTCAAGAACCAAATCTGAAAGAATAGAACTTACAATCATAATCTGCCCATCCAATTCTTTTGCGAGCCAAGTCATATACAATGATCTTATCTTTAAGAACAAGATCTGAGCAACAAGAGAAAGAGAAGTGAGTGCCAACTAGTTTCCATCTTTACTCTAGATTCTCCACTCTCTGACAGTAATGATGCAAGCAATGCAATTAGGAAACCAACAATATAATATTTGTATGGTAAACCGCATTGGGACACATTTTCAGCATTTCCACTCCAAACCAAATAGAACATATGACTCCTATAACCACTTACCTTAGGCGACTTCGGCTTTGAAAAGTTTCATTTCATTCCGTTCCCCCCAGTCCTTCTCTCTTCCCCTGTGAGCGATCTAGTGTTACATAGTCTGTTATTTCAGAGAGTGGAAAATCTCGGAGGGTATCACGAGAAGGTACTCAAGCACACATGCACACATAAAATTGATCCATATTGCATCATACTTGCCAAAACTAAGATAAGCGAACTTTTCTCACCACCACTCACAAAAGTTACTTGTTTTGTTTCAGTCAGCGGCCACGCGCTGGTGCAATATGTGTGTGGATGGATAGATTTTGAAAACAGATGCTTGAAAGCTGCCACTTTTGGCCTGAGTTTTCAACAATGGACCATTGGAACATATCTACAAGCACTTTGGATTTCAACTCTTCAATTTGAGTTCACTATTACTTGCTGTGAAGAGGAAGAAGAAGTCGCAAAATTGACAGGAAAGAGAAAGAACAATAAACAACCCCAAACAAATTACTTAAGTTCCACAGAGGGGATACTAGCTCCACTTGTTATCAACTGTAAGACAATCATAAAACCAGGATTATACAAAAGGCTGCAACATTATATGGCCATGAACTACGTCAAGACTAAAGACTGCATCTGTTTCTACAAATGCTCCAAGTGGACAAGAATCTCTCTCACCTATACAGGTACCTTCGAACAAACATTATCACAGAAACAGAAAGATCATGGCACAACCTTAGGAAGAACCTTTGAAAATGGAACGGTAACCAGATTCCCTTTAAAATCTTTCTTTCCACTAATCAACTATCCATGAATGGCACTGTCTGCTTTCATTGAACATCAGAGAACAACTACCTGTTACTATACATGCTACCTTTCAGCTTATCAACAACTGCTTCACTCACTGAAAACACACAGAATCAATCGTCTTAATCTTTGAAAAATTTTTGTCGGCGAAAAGCACTAAGAATCTAGTAATGCCAGGAAATGCATCTGGGCCTAAAAGGAAGCAAATTTTTCATCCAGGAGTAGAGAAAGTAGTTGACAGCGCAAATGAAAATTCCGTGACATTTCAAATGATAAAGATATCAATATGAAAGGTTTTCTAAGTACCGACGATACTCGAGCACACAAGTATACAGATATCACGCACAATGATAAGCACCCACTAAAGAAGCTAAAATGTAGAATGAAGCAACGGAAGTATAAGACGTAACCATTATCCGGAAACCAACCTCCTAAAATTGTTACGCCTGCATCATCTCTTTGAAAGCCAATGCACCACATAGCAGCACCTTCCTGTTTAACACATATAATAGAGTTACTTATCTTTATACTTCATAATAGCAGATAAGATAGTGAAAGTGACAAGGTTTAATATAATGTTAGTAGAAGATGATTAAATTACAAATGCAGGTTTCAACACTCACATAAAAGCCCATATGCACAAGGTAGTCCGAAGGTCTTAAATCCATGGATGCACCACCAGCAAAGTTTAGAGAAACTGGAGGAAACATATCGGATATGCTGTTTGAGAAACAGGGTGCCATGCTCAAGTCACGAAACAGTTGTGTAGAAACCATTGAGGTACTTAATAACTTCAATTAAACACAAAACAAGGAACCTTGAGGAAACTAGATAGCACGGCTTTCTTCCTGATATGACTAGCCTGGCTGAAGGTGAAACGGCGGCAGTTATCTGCAACAAAGATGAGAGCTGGTAAATTAGCTAACTTTCCTTGCAAAGGTACATAGCCTTCAATGTAATAGAAGAAAAAATGGAATTGACTTTGTACTAGAAAGAACTTTCCGCAATATATCATTTTGCTGAGGATAATGTTTGGGTACAGTTTGTAATATGTGGAAATATCAGTACACAAAATAAGCAGTCAACCATCTTGCATGGAGTACCCTTATGAAACATTTTACCAGCAAGGAGGATTGTGGAAAGACAAGGAAACGCTTCCCACCCATCACTCTTGATTATGGGAGAAGAAATGACGCTCGTTGCGTCCAAAAATGGACACCTCAAATTAGGTCCTTCAGCTGATGAGCATGTCCTAGACATGGCCAGTGTTATGAAACTACCTTTATTGTATTAACAAGGAAGAAACTTCATCTAGTTCATCTTGATGTGGGAAAATTATTTTTCATATATGAACAGACTTGGCCTATTTCAGGCTTAGTCTGGACCACGTTCAATCTAAGGGGGAGGCAGATGATAAGTCTATTTTATATCGAGTGAATCATATCTTTTACCATAGGTTTTGCTTTACTTTTGAGAATTTATCACTTTGAATTAACACCAATGTGGTTAGTTTGTTAAATCTTGGTGCTTTGGAAGCTAAATATGACTTTGGAAGCATTTTGAGATCAAAAGGAAGAAAAAGTGGAGAAAATGAGATAAACGGATCATCCTTCCTGGAAGGACCATCTGGCCAAGGCATTTTAGCGGTTCGACTTTGTTGTTTTTCATAGAGAACTTCGTGGAATAAGAAGAATCAAGCTTCACCAAAGATCAAGGACTCAAACTAAGTTTTTGTATCTCCATTGTTACACAATAATACTGTGCTTTGAATACTTTGATTTGCTCTAGCATGTCTATATGAACTACATACCTTTTGTAGGGCTTAGATTCTTTTGTGGATTCAGGGTTTTGATTAATAATATATGTTCTTGATTATTATATATGTTGATTGCTAGAATTCTTTACCTAATTCTGCTCTTAGCATTTTTGATTACTTGATTGCTGATTAAATTGCTATAGTAATTTAAGCTTAACAGGAAAGAGAACTTAAGTTAAAAACCTGAATTAGATAGCCTTTGATTAATACATCCTGACCAGAATCTCACTGGAAACAATGACGATTAGCTTGTGGGATAGGAATATCACCATTGACCTTAGGCATTCATGTTAGGATTGGCATTCAAAACCTCATTTATGGATTATTAACCATAAGAATATAGGTTAATGGGCAAATATAATAGGTTCACTCAACATAGTGGAAATTTTGAGAATCCTAGACCAGATTGGGAGAAGAACACTTACAGCATTGACAAAGGGTTCATAAGCTTCTGCGGTAAGATAAGCTAAAGTTGTACCAGAATCAACAATGGTTCCTCGATCACCAGAGCTGGCAAAAACTGCTGGATCAACAGGCAAAGTTTGCCCATTGACGGCAATGCTCTGTATATATACATTGTAATGACCCCTGCAAGAGTGGAAGAAACAAATAGATGTATACCTCAACATTGTCTTTCTGAGTACACACAGTTACCAGTGCTAATAACTGAGAGGAAGCAGAAGCATGTCGGAGAACATCAAAATCTAATAAAAGAGGAATAGGTGTTGAGTACATGAAAATAATCAATGTTTATTGGTAAGTTCCATTTAATAACCTACTTGTGAAGAGCAACTCATCTGGCATTTACTGCTAATTTGTTGAAGATAATGAAAGATTTCCACGTGAGTATCGATGTCGTCCTCCATATTTACATGTAAACTACTGTGAGAAACTATGTTGCTCGGATACAGGTGTAGGTATCTCTAATGGTTCTGATCTAAATGTCGGTTTCCTCATCTCATAAAATTTAAGTACCAACAAATATTGTGTAATTATGACTTGATCTTTATTTTTAATTAACAAAATATTCGAGTGCTGAGATACGGCTCGCATTTTTGAAGGATTTGGGCAACATAGTTGAGAAGCATAAACATATTGAAACATCACATGGAATACCAAGTTGTTGGACTGTAGACTTTGTGAAGAACCCAATGCTGCTTACTCTATACAGTGGACATATATCAAGAACCCAATGTTGCTTAATCACTTCCTCTCTCTCTCTCTCTCTCTCTCTCTCTGTTTTGTTTTTTTTCGATTTTTTAAAGGGGGGAGGGGGGAGAGTGGGGGGAAGTTGCTGGGGAGTGACAGTAGGGCTCTAGATACGACTGTAGTCTAGGGCTGCTACCTTAAGTCTGCCCTATTGAACGGAAGGCCTCCCCTACTATCAAGCGAGAACGAATTCTTCTCGCAGTTGGAGGAACAAGTAGTCACTTGTCACTGCTTTCTGATCATTTCTCTATTCAAATATGCAAAAGAGAAGGACAAATTGAGGACTGCTTCTTCTCTAAAATAGTTGAAATAGAATAAAATTCATAAAATCCAATTATGCTCTAGGAAGTATTCAAAAGGCAGAAATTTCTTTCTACCAAGAATTTGTTTTTTTTTTTTTAAATATTGAAACTTGTAAGTGCGACAATCCAAACCCACCTTGCTCCCATGGTGACTTGAACCCAACCTCATGGTTGCAAGCTATCCCTCTCTTGTCGAATTCAAAAGTTTTTCCGTACGACATAGAAAACTAAACAAGTAATAAAATGCCGAATAATTTGAAATCTCATCCCAATAAAAATTATAATAAAATTTTGCTACTGGGTACTAAATTACATACTTTCGATTCAATTGCATTACAATAGGATAGTCATGAAAATATACAATGTAAAAGTTTGTTTCAACTTTCCTATAAAGATTGGCATGGAGAAGCAGCATAACTGCATGTTGATATCTTACAATGATGGAAGAAAAACTTCATGAAAGCTGTGTAAAATTCTACTAGTGAAAACAATACTGCAGAGAAGCCTGTTTGTCAAAAGCAGAAAAATTTGTGTGGCAATAAATATTTGCATGCGCTGAAGGATGTCAAACCTAAGGCACAAATCACTTACTAACAATTCTTAGAAAGAAGAACCAATAATCCACATTAACGTAGATATACAAGCTGTAGAAGGCATAATGACTGCAACCAAATAGCAATCATGGGATCTTTTCTTGACATTTTTTCATGCGCTACCAGTAATCACAAACTATTTAGAACACAATGGTTATCATATAACATAAGGCACACTGCACTAAGCATCATAGTCTAGAATAAAAGAGTTCATCATATAGTAATTAAGAATGTAATACGTACTGTGACGGAACAAGGGGACTATAAACGATGCTCGGATTCAAAATCTCACCAAGAACTAGTATACCTCCACCATTGCCCTCTCCTTTCAAACAATGTGAAAACACTTTTGGAGAAATTCCGCGTGCAGACAGTTGAGATATTACTGAAAGGTCCTGTGGACCAAACCCAAAAATCCCATCAATTGCTCTATCCATCTGGGTCAGGTCCCCAGACTGAGAGGTACTGCACCTGTTTTGATTTCAAATCAAAGTATAAGCTTCTGCTGAAAAGCAAATGCATGCACTGGTTAAAAGAGACCGCCGTAGAACAAATAGAACATAAAAAAGGGGCCTATAGACAAAGAATCGCGAGAAAACAAAAAAGTGTTTAAGGATACAAAACGTAAAGCATTATGTCAAATGACATCTTCAAAATGTTAGAGCATGCTTGAGAAGCTCAACTTTGTTTACTTACTTTCCCTACAAAAAGAAATGAATGAAGTATTTCTGCACATCTGATTGCCATTAAAACATCACATTACCCATTGAGTAGTGTGAATCATGCTGCCTAGTTACAAATGTTTCAGCTAGCTTTTAGGTGAAGTATGGTTTACGACTAAATCAAACCCTTGATTAGAAAAACATAAAGAATTTGAAATATACTCATAAATTGTTACTTCTCTATGTTTCTGATATTTTTGGTCCCATGCTAGCATGACTTCTAATTCTCCAATTTGTAGTCTTTCCACCATCAGTAATGATATATCTTTTTGTCAAAAAAAGGGGGGAACATGTTGTAATATGAAAAGTGCCCCCCCCCCCC